CGGCGCCAGAGCGACGGAGAGTCGGATAAGGAAGCCGCATCAGAAATCTTGCCCGATTCTGTTCCAGAGGTCTGTTGTGGCAACATCGAATATATCTCTGATACTCATAGACCCATTACCCAAATGGTTCTCTGCATGGCTTCGGACGTCGTCGATCCATCTGGCTTTCGGGCGTCCCCGCCTCCGCTTTACATGATATGCTGGGTCGTGTTGCGGCGTCCATTGGATCACTTGCCGGATCCATTCTTCATCGTCTGTCGTGCTCAATTGTTGTACCCACTTCCATTTCCGTTCCTTCACAAGAGAAGCCCAATCCTTGATTCGTAACCGCTCAACTGTGGCCTCTGCATCGTGAGTAGCACGCTTGATCCATTGCACCCATGGCTCCAGAGATTCTGGCGTTGTGTCGTCGTCGTGCGTCGGTAATGTGGTGGGCGTGCGGCCTGACGTCGTGCTATCGCCCTCGTCCGTGTTGTCGTCGTCGTACTGGTGGCTGCCGTCGTGTTGGTCGTTGGTATTGGTCTGAGTTGGATGCGGTGCCTGCTGTGGGCTCGTAGTTGCTGCGGTACGTCTCGGTACTCGTACGATCATGTGTAGCATCTGCCTTTGCGCTCGTCGCAGTCGATTTGCAAGCTCAGTCGTGAGGGTCCAAGCTTCGCAACCGTATAAATTGTCGGCGTGATATCTCCGTTGAATAGTCGTAGCCGGTCAGACCGTGAATATCCGCCGGCCCCCTTGTGGGGCCACCAGGCTGTAGGGCGAAGGTTCGCAGTTTCCTGTACAAGTTGCAGCTTCTAGTTTCCACTGTTACAGTTATGCTTCTTGCTGCTGACTGTTCCTCGTTCATGGACCGCGCGAGGGGGGAGGCCCAAAACGGGCATTTTTACTACGCCCTGAGCGTGTGCTCTGAATTGCTGAGGTGGGTAAAAATCTACACCTCTCACGCAGATCCGCGGGGTCAGGGTCCAAAAACACACAGGATTTGCCACATTTATGAAAATGCGGCGGCACCTCTCACGCAGATCGGCAGGCTCAGGGTCCAAAAACACAAGGAATTTGCACACAGTTCTTAAATTTGCTGGCACCCCTCACGCAGATCGGCAGGGTCAGGGTCCAAAAACACAAGGGAATTGTAACATTTCTAACATTCGGTGGCACCACTCACGCAGATCGGCGGGGTCAGGGTGAAAAAACACATAGGATGTGCCACATTTCTCATATTCGCTGGCACCCCTCACGCAGATCGGCGGGGTCAGGGTCCAAAAACACAAAAGATTTGCCACATTTCTGAAATGCGGTGGCACCCCTCACGCAGATCGGCAGGGTCAGGGTCCAAAAACAAACGAGATTTCCTACATGTCTAACATTCGGTGGCACCACTCACGCAGATCGGCAGGGTCAGGGTCAAAAAACACATGGGATGTGCCACATTTCTGCAATTCGCTGGCACCCCTCACGCAGATTCGCAAGGTCAGGGTCCAAAAACACAAAGGATTTGCTACTTTTCTGAAATCCGGTGGAACCCGTGACGCAGATCCGTAGGGTCAGGGTCGAAAAACAAACAAGTCCCGACACTGCTGCACGGTGGCGCCCAGACCTCATGATTTAGCTTTGCATCTCCCATTATCCGAGACAGGGGGCCGGCGGCATGGGGCGAAGCCCTTACGGATATTTGTTCTCTGTTAGCTCGTCCTTGAGTGCGTGGAACTTCCGCCATGCCGTCGCGATGCGTTTTCCCAGTTCCGTATCGTGGGGCGCAAGTGCCGACCCATATACTTCGTGCCGCGGTATGGCGGTAGTACTTCGATCTTCATGCCGAGCACGTGCACGTAATCAGGTGCACGCTTTCCGTGTGGTGGTCGGTGGCCGTTGTGCATGATCGTTGTTTTGTCGGGGTGTAATTCCCAGCCCGCCTTGCCCGCCTCATTGGTCAAGTCGGTGAGCATGTCTGTAAGATGGCTAAGTGACCCCACGAGTAATACAATGTCGTGTGCGAATCGTAAGTTGGTGACGACGGCCATTTGCGCGCAGCTGGAGTTTGAAGCCGTAGTTATTGGATGCCCATTTTGCTTAGGCTCGTCTCAGAATACTCTCTGATACGCAGTTGAAAAGCAAGGAACTAAGGGAATCTCCCTGTTTCGTTCCTCGTAGGATGTCGAACTGCCTGCTGGGGCGGTCTGTGTGGACTGAAGCTGTCTGTCGCTCGTACAGCTTTGACAGCAAACGTGTGTATGGTCTTGGCGTGCTCTATTCTGCCATCGACTCCCAGATTTATTCGTGCGTGATGCTGTCGAATGCCTTTTTGAAGTCCACGGCGGCTGACCACATTGGGAAATGCCACTCGTCTGCGACCTCATGCAAAACCGTTGTCGTGAACAAATAGTCCAGCGTGCTCCAGCTTGGTCGGAAACCTGCTTGGTCAGCGCTTTGCTGGCAATCTAGATGCGGATGTGATCGGTTGTCGAGGAGTCGCGAGAAGAGTTTGTATAGCATTGGGATGCTCGCAATTGGTCTGTAGTTCTTGGGCTGTGCTGGGTCTCCGCTCTTATGCAAAACCTTGAGAACCGTGTATCGTCAGCTCGTGGGTGTCGGGGAGCCAGGCTTGATGACGTCGTTGCACGCGTCAAGGAGAGAGGAAGAAACACATAAGCATGAGCAGAAACTTTTGGCGCACCGCGCGGATTTCTTGGATCTGCGCTGGACCCCCTTCCCTGGCAGCCGGCGCCGCCAAGGGGTTCCCCAGCACGGATCCGAGAAATCCGCGCGGAGCGCCAAAAGTGTATGTTTATGTGTGTTTTGTTGTTCTTCGAGTCTTGGGGGCGTCTTGGGGCTTCTCGCTTCAGGGCCTTCCTGGGCGGCTGTCGAGGGCCCTCGTCGGCTTCCTTGGGGCCTTTTGGCCTGGCCTGTCAGGCAGCCCGCAAGCATGTCCGCACTGCCCCACGTGCCGTGGACACGGTGGCAGACTCGTGAGCGCGCTACGACGAGGAGGAGGAGTAGGAGGAGGACGAGGACCAGAAGGAGGAAGAGAAGAAAGAGGAGGAAGAGGGGGAAGAGGAGGAGGAGGAGGAGGAGGAGAGGGAGAGGAGGAGGAGGAGGAGAGGAGGGGGAGGGGAGGAGGAGGGGGAGGAGGAGGGGGAGAAGGAGGAGGAGGAGGAGGAGGAGGAGGAGGAGGGAGAGGAGGAGGAGCAGGCGCAGGAGGGAGGAGGAGGAGGACGACGACGAGGACGAGGACGAGGAGGAGGAGGCGGAGGAGAAAGCGGAGGAGGAGGAGGCGGAGGGGGAGGAGTCGGAGGGGGAGGGGGGGGGCGGAGGAGGAGGAGGAGGAGGAGAAGGAGGAGGAGGCTACTACAGACGGACCTAGGCCAGAAGAACACCCTTCAAGAACATGAGACCCTCCGTCGGCCAAAACAAACGGAACATCAAAGGGTACCCTCCCCAGGATGCACAAGAGCACACATCAAGCACGAAGAACCTCAGGGTACGCTCCCCGAGACGACCTCGATCTTCTGCCTCGGTCCGGCTGTACGCTGGCAGATTCGTCAGTGCGCTGGTCACTTCAGACGGCTGGCGACCGCGAGCCTCTAAAGGAGGCAGCAGCAACGGTGGCGACGACGGGCACGGTGGCCGATTCGTGGGCGCGCTCGCTACTGCAGGCGATCGACGACCGAAAACCTGCAATGGAGGCAGCAGTAACGCTGGCGACGACGACGACGACGACGACGACGACGACGACGACGACGGCAGTGGAAGATTTGTTCTTCAGCGGCGAGTCGGCGAACTCCGCTCCAGCGAGAAGCTAGATGGTGGCACTAACTAGCGAATTGGCCGGCGAGCAAAGAGGGGGGGGACGGCCGAGAAGAAGAAGGGACGCTCAGACGTCGAAGAGTTCGACGGTGAGCAGCCGGGGGGGCAGCAGCAGCCAGGCGCGCAGGGCCAAAGCGCGGTGGGCGGCCATAGCGAACCACGGTGGCAAGGGTGGCGGGAGGGCGGCAGCCAGCGGCTGGAGCTGGCGGGCGGGCGCAGTGGGACACTACGAACGGCGTGCCGCGGCGCACAGAGGAGTAGGCACAGCACTGAGCCGTGCGGAGGCAGGAGCAGCGGCCAGATGGCTGGCAGCGACAGGGGTACTGCGGCGTGACCGCCCAAGGCCAGGTGGCCAGGGAGCCGGGAGAGGTGGGGCAGGAGGCGGCGGGCGAAGCGTCCCAGGCGCCCTCAGGCGGCGGGGCGGAACAGCAACGCAGGGAGAGGAAGCGCTGGCAGAGAGAGGTGAGTGGCGGCGACCGCCCAAGGCCGCGCCAGGGGGCCCGAGGGCAGAGAGGGGAGGGGCAGGTGGCGGCGGGCGAAGCATCCAGGGCGCCTGCAGGCAGTGGGGCAAAGCAGCATCGCAACGGGAGGAGGCAGGACGGCAGCGGAACAGACTAATAGAAAACAGAGAAGCTGCACAGCGCGCAGACTTTCGGAGGTCCGCGCGGGCCTCCGAGAGCGCATGGCTGTGTCAGTTGCCCCTCTTCGAGCAGCGGCAACGGAGCTGGACGGCGACGTCCGAACCCTGCCCCCCCACCAAAACCATCGACTCGAGTGAATCGATGGGATGCGGGGGGGGAGCTCTGAGTTCGCCGCGCGTTGGACGAACTCCGAAGCCTGCCCCCGCCGCCCATCGAGCTGCCTGACCCGTGGATCGGCGGAGGTGCGCCCCGGACCTCGCGGGAGCCGACGCCTGCTCTTCGCCGGATAGCGGCGGCGGAGCACGGGGCTCCTTGCATTGGAGGTCGCTTGGGGGGCAGCGTTGTTTCAGAGCCAGATCCCAATACGCTCAGCCTTCGCGCTTGATCCGTCAATAAGAATCCTTACGACACCCATTCGCGACAAGTTCGGACCCTAGGTTTGCTCTTACCGACGATTGGGCTGCTTAGGTTTGCTCTTGCCCTACGAGCATTGCCTCCTCCTCCGTCGCCCCAGAAACACAGATCGCGTTCGCTGCCCCTCAGCGAGCTGAAATCCTTGCAGTCCATCTTGTGGTGGCTGCACTCGTCCCACATCGTGCCCCACTTCTTGAGGCAGTGGAAGCAGAAGCGGTGCCGGTGCCCGGACCCGGAGCCCGGCCACTGCTTGCACCCCGCCTCGTGGACGGCGAAGGTCAACAGCCCCTTGCGCGGCGGGGCGGAGATCGGCGGCGAGCCCGGGGGGGAGGCGAGAAAGCTTCTGTCGGACATGTCCTCCTACAGGGGGATGTTGGACGAAAATAGAACATAATCCGAAAATGCCCAAAAATACCCCCCAAAAAAACAACATGATCGACCCACGAACCCGGAAAGGAATATAGAAATGTAACGCATGGCAACGTTTTCAAAGACACCTGATCGGGTGACTTGCAAGTGGAATGCTGATTGTATCGATCTTGATGTACCGTGCCGAGGGCTGTGCTGTGCTGCACCGTGCTGAATTGCGATGTGCCATGCCGCGGTTGTGCTCTATAGCGTCGTGGATCGAGTCTTCCTTTGCATCCGAGTCCTGACCGAACTGATCTGGACCTGAAGCTCGAGCTGCCTGAACACATAGTAGCTGCCCCAGAGCTAAGTGACAGGGGGACATGCCAGGAGGACGCGCCGCGAAACGCCCCAAGGGACGCGCCAGGCGACGTGCCAAGGGACGTGCCATGGGGTCGCACCGTAGGACGTGCCAAGGGGACGCGCTACGGGACATCCTCAAAATTCCTGCGCGCGGGACGTGGCACGCGCGAGACATCCCCGGAATTCCTGCGAGCGAGACCTGAAAACAAACATTTCGCCTGAGACATCCTCTGAATTCTGGCCCCCCACAAGGCCCCCGCTCGAGAAATCCCCCAAGTTTGCAAAACCAGCGTTTCGCTCGAGACATCCTCAACAAATTATGAAAAACAAGCGTTTCGCTTGAGACATCCAGTCAAAATCCAAGGAAATCCTGAGAAAACAAGCGAATTAGTAAAGACATCCTCAAAAATCCTGCGCGCGGGACGCGGCACGCGCGAGACATCCTTGGAATTCCTGCGAGCGGGACACGAAAACACGCATTTCGCCTGAGACATCCTCTGAATTCTGGCCCCCCACGAAGCCCCCGCTCGAGACATCCCCAAATCTTGCAAAACCAGCGTTTCCCTTGAGACATCCTCAACAAACTATGTAAAAAAAACGTGTCGCTCGAGACATCCTGCCAAAATTCTAAGAAATCCTAACAAAACAAGCGAATTAGTCGAGACATCCTCGAAATTCCTGCGCGCGGGACGCGGCACGCGCGAGACATGCTCGGAATTCCTGCGCGCGGGGCGCTTTTCCGCGTCGCGGTCGGGGCTCCAGACCCCGTTATTTGTCGAGGATTCTGCGAAAAACGCTCCGCACCCTCTTTTTTACGAGGGAAAACGGGGGTCTGCGGACCCCGTTTTTTTTATCGAGGATCCGAGATGGGGGGCGCACTTTCCTCGAGCGGGCACGCGCGAAACGCACTTTTTCGATTGTAAATCAGCACTTTACCTCGTTATTTACGCAGAATAATTTCGCCGGCCCCCTTCAAGTCGAAACCGCGGGGTAAACCATCTAAAAGATAACCCTGGGCCGACGCCCCTTCCGGGAAAGAAACAGCAAAAAAAATTCCCCTAACTAGTTTTTACTACTTGTTTGTATTCATCCTGTAGAGGGACTCGCCCGACTTAAGAGAAGGCCCGGCCCCGTCACGTCCCCCTTGGCGCGCCGCCGAGCCATAGCTGGAGAAACCATCACGAAGAGGGGCAACGAGGCAGCAGAGGTTGGCGGTGCGCACAAGGGGGTGGAGGGAGGGGGGGGGGCTTCTTAGAAGCAAGGGTGTTTCTAAGAAGCCTTCCCCCCTCCCCCCACCCTCCTCTGCGCGTGGCTGAAGAGGGGGCAGACCATGGAGGACGAGAAAACGGCCGATGTGTTCAGGTTTGTGCCGGTGTTCTCCAGGGAAGCTGGACAGAGGAAGGAGCGCGTCAAAGAAGGACTGCCAGGACAGACGGCTCGCGGAGGCTTCGTTCTTCCAGCTGCTCCTCCTGCTGCTGCTGCCGACGCTGCACTCCTGCTGCCGCGACCTGCGCCACCTGCCTTTCTCCTCCACCAAGTCCGAAGAGAAAGCGTGCCCATTTGTCCCTATGTCTGGTGGCATTACAATCAAAATCGACTGGAGAGGGCACGCGGGAGGACACAGGACTCCTCCTAGGACACACGAGCCTGGCCAAGAGTGCAGAGAACACGAGACACGATGGGTACAGTTGATTTGGCAGGGTCGACCTACTACAGTGGAGGCCCGGCCACAAGAAACCTTCCACAAGAAACCCAACCCTGAGACCCCAGGACGTTCATTGATTTTTGACGTGGGAGCGTCACGCCTTCCATCGCAAAACCATGGAAACCCAAGAAACCCAAGAGATCCAGGGCACCCTGGAGGCGAGCACGGTGTTCTTGGCATGGGCCTCTACTGCAATCAAACTCAACTGTATCGTCGATGCGCGGACGTCCTGGGATGGTACCCAGACGGTTCCAGAACCGAAGCAGCCCCAGTGGAAGAAGAAGAAGAAGAAGAAAGAAAAAACATGATCGACCCACGAACCCAGAAAGGAATGTATACATGTAAGACATGGCAACGTTTCAAAGACACCTCATTGGGCGACGGGCAAATGCAATGCTTAGTGTATCGATCTTGATGTACCGTGCCGAGGGCTGTGCTGTGCTGCGCCGTGCTGAACTGCGATGTGCCATGCCGCGATTGTGCTCTATAGCCTCGTGGATCGAGTCCTCCTTTGCATCCGAGTCCTAACCGAACTGATCTGGATCTTAAGCTCGAGCTGCCTAAGCACATAACTAGTAGCTGCCCCAGAGCTGATTGACAGGGGAACTGCCAGGAGGACGCGCCGCAGAACGTCCCAAGGGACGCGCCAGGCGACGTGCCAGGGGACGTGCCATGGGGACGCACCGCGGGACGTGCCAAGGGGACGCGCTACGGAACGTGCCAATGGACGTGCCACGGGACGTGCCAAGGGACGCACCAAGCGAGGTGCCAGGGGACGTGCCACGGGGACGCACCGTGGGACGTGCCAAGAGGACGCGCTACGGCACGTGCCAATGGACGTGCCACGGGACGTTCAAGGGGACGCGCCGCGCGACGTGCCAGGGAGACTCGCCACAGGACGCGCCACGGAACGTGCCAAGTTGCAATGCTGAGTGTATCGATCTTGATGTACCGTGCCGAAGGCAGTGCTGTGCTGCGCCGTGCTGAATTGCGATGTGCCACGTGGCGATTGTGCTCTATAGCGTTGTGGATCGAGTCCTCCTTTGCATCCGAGTCCTGACCGAACTGATCTGGCTCTTAAGCTCGAGCTGCCTGAGCACACAGTAGCTGCCCAAGAGCTAATTCACGGGGGGGCATGCTAGGAAGACGCGTCACGGAATGTTCCAAGGGACGCGCCAAGCGACGTGCCAGAGAACGTGCCATGGGGACGCACCGCGGGACGTGCCAAGAGGACGCGCTACGGAACGTGCCAATGGACGTGCCACGGGACGTGCCAAGGGACGCACCAAGCGAGGTGCCAGGGGACGTGCCACGGGGACGCACCGTGGGACGTGCCAAGAGGACGCGCTACGGAACGTGCCAATGGACGTGCCACGGGACGTTCAAGGGACGCGCCGCGCGACGTGCCAGGGGGACTCGCCACAGGACGCGCCACGGAACGTGCCAAAGAACGTGCCAGGTTGCAATGCTGAGTGAGTGTATCGATCTTGATGTACCGTGCCGAGGGCTGTGCTGTGCTGCGCCGTGCTGAACTGCGATGTGCCATGCCGCGATTGTGCTCTATAGCCTCGTGGATCGAGTCCTCCTTTGCATCCGAGCCCTGACCGAACTGATCTGGATCTTAAGCTCGCGCTGCCTGAGCACATAGTCCACGTAGTAGCTGCCCCAGAGCTGATTGACAAGGAAACATGCCAGGAAGACGCGCCGCGGAACGTTCCAAGGCACGCGCCAGGCGACGTGTCAGGGGACGTGCCACGGGGACGCACCGCGGGACGTGCCAAGGGGACGCGCTACAGAACGTGCTGGGGATAAGCGTCGTGTTGGTGGCCTGGACACGTAAAAACACGGTGCCAGCTCGGGACAACCATGAGAGATACCCCCTGGGTGGCCTGGACACGTACAAACACGTGGTTCCAGCTCGGGACAATCATGTTAGAGATCTCCCTGGGTGGCCTGAGCATGAAAAAACACGTGGTTCCAGCTCGGGACAGCCATGTTAGATACCCCCCCTGCGTGACCTGGATACGCTGAATTCGCGCTCCCGCTCGAGACATCCTCGCAGCGTCTTCCCTGGAGAGCCCCCCACAGCGCAACCCCCTGTTCAGAGCAAGACACCATCACTTTTCTGTATTGGGACATGTGTTCGGGTAGCGCTTTTCGGCCCCCCGTGCGTTTCCTTATGATTCGGCGTTGGGCCCGACGCCATGTTAGATACCCCAACTCTGCAAAACCAGCGTTTCGCTCGAGAGATCCTCAACAAATTCTGAAAAACAAGGGTTTCGCTCGAGACATCCCCCCAACTCTGCAAAACCAGCGCTTCGCTCGAGACATCCTCAACCAATTCTGAAAAACAAGCGTTTCGCTCGAGACATCCTCAAAAATTACACTACACCCGCGCTCCCAGGGCCACGATCCCTCGTAAATTACGCTACGTCAGCGCTCCCAGGGCCACGATCCCTCGAAAGGGCTCCTGGGCCCTCCTGGGTCTTCCTTGGACCTCTTGGGCCCTCCTGGGCTCTCCTGGAGCCTCCTGGAGCTTCTCCTGGGCCCTCCTTGGGCCCCCTGGTGCCTCTTGGAGCATCCTGGGTCCTCCTGGGCCCTCCTGGGCTCTCCTGGGCCCTCCTGGGCTCTCCTGGGCTCTCCTGGAGCCTCCTGGGCCCTCCTGGGCGAAGTCAAGGTCCGAAAACACATGGGACTTGCCACATTTCTGAAATTCGGTGCCACCCCTCACGCAGATCCGCGGGGTCAGGGTCCAAAAACACATGGGATTTGCCACATTTCTGAAATTCGGTGCCACCCCTCACGCAGATCCGCGGGGTCAGGGTCCAAAAACACAGGGATTTGCCACATTTCTGAAATTCGGTGCCACCCC